GTACCCATCAACGATTTTACCGTTACCCGCGCACCGCGTGCCAGAGTATATATATGTGGCTTCCTTGGCGTTCAAACGCGGAGTCTTGGTTCGCGCCAAGACGCGCGGGGCGCGCTTATACGACGGAGTTCGCGAAATTGATTAAAAGCCGAGCCAACGGAGCTTGGTCGGGTCGCCGCGGCGGGGCGGCACCGGTGTCGTCTGCTCGACGTTCCAAGACGCTTCGATCCGCGTGAGTATATTATTATACGTACAGGGCAAGGCTGGGATTTTACCTTTATTTTCTTTTTTCTTTTTTTTTTTTTTTTTTACTTTTTTGGGTGGAATGGAATTTTCTTTTAATTAGAATCGCCATCGGGGTTGCTACTGGCAAACCAAGAAAGTTCTGGCACTTTTGAATAACGACGAAAAAATATTTCACATCATTAAGATTATATTTATGCCCTAAACCAGACTAGTTTTGTTTACAGACAACATTTAATCTAAGTTGGGACGCACGTTGATTTAGGCACATCATAAATATAATCGTAAGAAAATATTTTGCGATCGTTACATTCATTAGCTTGTGCCCAACGAAAATTGTATGGACCTACCGAGTATATTCCTTTTTTGTCTCGCCACACGTGTTTATACCAATAAAGTTTCACCAGACGAGTCGAGAGAGTCCATTATATATCTACGACATGGGCGCAGAGAAAGGAAGGAATCCCAAAAATGCGATTGCACCACACGGTCATCACGCTCGATTTGACCAATGGGAGATGAACAAAAAAAAAAATCGACTATTCAGATAATCAGACGAACGAAGAAAGGGGCAGTTGGCAGTTAGAGTGTCAACACCAAAATAACAGCAGCAGTCAGATACCGGCGAACGGTGTAGAGATCGATACATCGCGTGCACTTGCCCCGAAATAATCGGAGGCTGGACGTACATAATATTATGCACCAGTACAAGGTACAACACGACAGCGACTCGTCCTTCTATATATACCGCGGATCATCGGCTCGAATATATATAGAGGAGGGGTATATATCCACGTGGGGCTAATTTGCAAGTCGCGCGCTGTATGCACACCGAGAGCCAGAAGGCCTGAGCCGCGGCGCTAATGAATCTCTGCAGATCAACCCAATTAAGCATAAGGACGGCCTCGTTAATTATTGCCGAGAACTGCTCCGCACGCGGTCCCCGCATTCGCCTCGCTCCGACGCATCCGAGGTATTTCCTCGGAGGGGATCATCATTGGCACGCGCTCGTTGGATTCATATGCTATAGCGCCTGACGGCGCCTTCGTGGTATACAAATTAGATACCGCGGGGGGGGGGGATTGTGTTCATTCGATATCCCGGGGACTGCGCATTTATCGCGAATTTCATTAAAACTTGGGCACAATGGGCGAATTAACCGATGCTCCCCTTATTTTATCCCCGCCAAAGTTTCGAAGCGATGAAAAGAGTCGCGTATACAGTGTACATGTATAACGAGTGGCCCACTTTTTTTTTTTTTTTTTTTTTTGTTCTTCGCGTCCCCCGATTCCTCCTCAGCTCGGCTCTTCATCCTTCCCAATTAAAATTCAACGCCCACAAGCGTTCCCCCGGTAATTGGCCGGAATCTCTTTAAGCTGCAAAATTACCCGGAAAAGGAGTTGTCCGAGCGAGACGCGGAATAGGGGCGCCGTGGAAGGCTCCGAGCAACGACGACGACGACTATACACACCAAAGTCTGTCGCGCGCAAATTATTTCAAGAATTCCGTCTCATAATTCGCTTACTCTCCTCTTGGTTCTATTTGCCCAGGCCTTCGTCGCTGCTGCGAGGAAACGTTGGACTCCTCCTCCTCCTCCTCCTCGTCGTTTAACCTGTTGGGAAAGTTTTCTTTTATACTTGCCCTTCCTTTCGGGGGGTAAAAAATGTACACCGAGTCGCCGAACGACCGATTGGCTGTTAAACTCGTTATTGCCGCCAATATGTACATCCCCCCTGTGGACGGTGGAAAAATTAGAGACCCGAGCTCCGCTGAGGTAAATTATACCAGAGTGACGAAGAGTTAGCTGGCAGGTTATTAAATGTACGTCCAACGTGTGATCGAATGAGCCAATTAGCCGTGGAGCGGGCTCTCGTATAATGGAATTTCAAAGTTCGGAGACGGGAGCGTTGGAGGAAAGGGCTCGAAATAAAGTGACCTTCCGATCCGTCGATCATCGCGTCCGTCGGACGTGTACGGGATTACACGCGCGTGTGTGTCGAGTGCGTAACTTCTCTCTCCCTGTAACAATTGGTTTGACTGATTTTTTTTTTCTTTTTTCCTCTTCGTCGAGGATTTATCGACCGGTTGAGTTTCGTTGGAACGTTCATTAGACTCCAAGGACTGTCGATGGTTAATTCTTGTAAGCACTTTTTTTTTTTATAATGAAACAAAACCCGTGTATCACAAAACCAACTCGGGATACAACGTGTTGCGGGTATCGCCAGTAGCGAAAGGCATAAGTTAAAAAAGTAAAAAAAAAATTGAAAAAAAGCTCCCAGTAAAGAGCTCGTGGACAAAAAGAAAGTGCAATTCGAAGAAAGACATCATCCGGCGAGATAGAAGTTGAAAGAAAGTCAAGTTGCAGACGGTATATATATGCACCACAAAGCGCAGGTGGTGCTAATTAATACCCCTAATTGCAGTCGGGAAGCCCACAACGGACGATCGGTGCGGGTATACCCCCCTTACTGTCGACGCCTACACGCGTGTACACACACGGTATGACTGAAAATTATGGCTGTGCGTCGAATGGAAAAAAAAAAAAAATGGCAAAAACTTTAGGCGAACGGTCCACGGGTTGTTCCTTTAGCAGTGTATTTTTCACGGGCAAAGTGTTTATCGATATTACGGAAAGAGAGAGAGAGAGAGAGGGAGGGACATGCGTGCTTTCTCCCCCGCCACTCGCAACTTTATCAAACGTCACATAAACAAAGTTAACGCGAGTCGGGGAACGAGAGGGGAGTATAGGCAAGGCCCTCGCGTAACGATGGAAAAATGATGTCCCGGGCGGCTCTGCTCGAGAAAGGAGCTCGAAAATGAGGACTTGGGAGAGGGGGGGTGGGGTGAAATAACGCAGAAGCACCTATACGTGTGGGTACTGATCGAGGGATCGAGGAGCCGAAGGGACGGCCACGTGGGAAAGAGAAGAAAAGCTCTCCCTTTTCTTTTTCCCTTCCTTTTTTCTTCGGAGGCACACGCACGCTTATCTCAGGCTGTCTCGAGCTCTCCCGAGAAGCCGAGTGTTAAGTTATAGCGCTGTTCAACCGGCGTGTGGAGCAACCCCCTCTTCCAGCTGTTCTATTGTGTTCGACAAACTTTTCAATGTCGATGGTGAAATATTCGCGTGTTCGAGCTTTTCCCTTTTTTTTTTTTTTTTTTTTTTTTCCTCGCGCGCACTTTGTTTTCTCCGACAATAGAGCTGTGATTACTTTTCATTCTTGCTCTCTCTTACGTCGTGTATTGTACATTTTAGGTACGCGAATGCCCGTTGTAGAGTTCGTTGACGTTTTTTTATTATCACAACTTGTGATTTATCGGGATAACCAATAACACCTAATTGCCTTGACGTGCTTCTCTGCAAGAGGAGAGCTTAGCTTCATTTTGGCGCGACTTGGAGTAATTAGAGACGTGGATTGTACGACGATAAGGATTTATTGATTCCCCATGTTAAACGTCTGTCGATCGTGTGTTTGTACAAGGAGACAAGGAGCAGACAATAGATCGAATCGAATAATTAAATGAAAGCATGATTATAATTTTTTTTTGACGTTTTTTTCCTTTTCTTTCAAAATCTCTCAGGCATGATTAAACAGAGAGAAATCTGATTGAAGCGTTTAGAGTGCACAAACATTTGTGATTGAACAAACCATTAAAACTTTGAAGGTACTTAAACGATGGTTAACATTGATAAACCCGCAAAACTATACCCCGATTTCATAGCTCCGAGCTTAAAACATGCGAAAAGACAGAGATAATGTATAATATAGACGTGGGTGTAATTTGCACACTGTCAGCTTTGTGTGCGCGTATTAGATGCAGCTACAGCATTATGGCATCGAAACGCGTTACGGAGCGGTTAACGAGCGCGGCTAACCGCATCGCCGGAAAACCGTGCGGTGCGGTGTCGTCCTTGCGCGCCCACCCACGTACCCGACTACCACGTACAGCCATCTGCCTGTCAGCCAACGTACATATATGTATATAACGGTGCGTGTGGGATCGAAAGCAACAGCATGGCAGCCCTTCGCGTGCGTATGTCGGAGCATGTGTCGCACTTTGTAGCTGTACGTGCACCTGCAACAACTGCTTTATATTACCGCTGCACTCTCTCATCGTTGATTCACGCGCTTTTCAGCCAAATGCCGCAAGGTCATGTCGCCCTACGAAAGGCGTGTTTAGATACGTGCGTGTATAGGTTTCGTGTTTTCTCGTAAACGAGCTGGGAGAGGACATTTTCTCGATGGGAGGAAAGTGAAAAAGTTGGGCCCCGACACAATACCACATTTTATGCTCTAATAGCATGGTACATCAGGAATGAAATAATTTCACTCTACAAATCGATATACGGATTGGAAGATCAAGGCTCGGAAAATGAAATAATTAAAAAAAATATCAAGAAAATTAAAACAACAAATGAGGGGGTATAAATGGGTCATGGGACCCTCGGTAAGAACGAAGTTCTTTAAACATAAGATAAGTAAAGACACAATTTCTCAGGTAACAAGGAGGTTGCCAGACCCGTAGAAAGAACGAAGCTCTATAAACGTTAGTACTGCATTTATGTAGATCACTAAAACAAAAACTTGAAAAATGAATAAAAAAAAATTTTTTAAAACAATAGTTCAGTACCCACGATGGCTGAACCTCGTAAGAACGTCGTGCATAAATACTGTACTCACGAAGTTCAACCATCGTAAGTACTGAGCTACTGTTTTTTTATTTTTTTTTTTCGTTTTTCAAGTTTTTGTTTTAGTGAACTACATAAATGCAGAAGTAACTTTTATAGAGCTTCGTTCATTCAACAGTTCTGGCAACCCCATTGTTACCTGAGAAATTGTGTCTATACTTATCTCATGTTTAAAGAACTTCATTCTTACCATGGGCCCCATGACCCATTTATACCCCCTTGTTTGCTGTTTTAATTTTTTTTTTTTTTTTTTTTTTTTTTTTTTTTTTTTTTTTANTCAATTCCTCGTATCCACAAACTGGTTGGCACTCGTATGGGTGTTCATTGTCCACATGCACTGAGAGTTGATCTTCATGTCTGAAGGTTTGTGGACATAGTCTGCAATCGTGGGTGCGTTGAAGGGATTCGACTATTTCATTCCGAACTTGTTCCTTGCGCCTCACAAATTCCTCGTATCCACAAACTGGTTGGCACGCGTATGGGTGTTCATTGTCCACATGCACTGAGAGTTGATCTTCTCGGATGAAGGTTCGTGGACATAGTCTGCAATTGTGGGTGCGTTGAAGGGACTTGACTATTTCATTCCGAACTTGTTCCTTGCGCCTCGCAAATTCCTCGTATCCACAAACTGGTTGGCACGCGTACGGGTGTTCATTGTCCACATGCTTTGAGAGATGTTCTTCTTGGCTAAAAATTTGTGGACATAGTCTACAGCTGTGGATGTCTCGATGTTTTTCGAGATGAACTGCATTGCCGTGGGCAAAAGTTAATGGGGACTCATCGTCGCTGCATCGGGGAGTCTCCCTTTCATGGATTTGTATATGGTTCATCAGAGTTTTTTTCTGTTTGAAATCTTTCAAACATACCGTACAGCCGAAGGGCTTCTTCTTAGAGTGGGTTTTCATGTGATACGTGAGATGTTCGTTACGTCGAAATGTGTTGGGACACACTGTGCAGCTGTAGGCCCTCTCATTAGAATGGGTTTTCATGTGATCCGTGAGATAGTCTTTACGTCGAAACGTCTTGGAACACACTGTGCAGTTGAAAGGGCTTTCGCTAGTATGTATCAGTTCGTGTCTCTTGAGATACTTTTTTTGTGTAAAAGCTCTTGAACACACCGTACAAAGAAACGGTCTCTCACCGGTATGGAGTTGCATGTGAGTGATAAGATTATGTTTGAGGGTAAAAGCCTTCGAACATAATGTGCAGGTAAATGGTCTCTCGCCGGTATGGGTTCGCATGTGTATGGTAAGAATTTTGTTTTGGGCAAAAGTTTTTAAACACACTATGCAGCTGAAGGGTTCCTCGTCGGTATGGGTTCTCATGTGAGCAATAAGATGATGGTTTCGGGCGAATTTTTTCGAACATACCGTACAGGCAAAAGGCTTCTCCTTAGTATGGGTTTTCATGTGTTCCGTGAGATAGTCTTTACGTCGAAACGTCTTGGAACACACGGTGCAGTTGAAAGAGCTTTCGCTAGTATGTATCAGTTCGTGTCTCTTGAGATCCTTTTTTAGTGTAAAAGCTCTTGAACACACCGTACAAAAAAAAAGCTTCTCACCGGTATGGGCTCGCATGTGTACCATAAGATTGTCTTTGCGGGTGAAAGTTTTCGAGCACACGGTGCAGGTGAAGAGCTTCTCATCAGTATGAGTCAACTCGTGTATCGCAAGACGGAATTTTTTGGAAAAAGCTTCAGAACACCTCGAGCAGCTGAAGGGCTTTTCATCAGAATGGGTGTTCATGTGCTCCATTAGATAGTCTTTACGTTGAAATGTTTTCGGACACCTCGAGCAGCTGAAGAGTCTCTCATCAGAATGAGTCAACTCGTGTATCGCAAGACGGAATTTTTTGGAAAAAGCTTCAGAACACCTCGAACAACTGAAGGGCTTTTCATCAGAATGGGTGTTCATGTGCTCCATTAGATAGTCTTTACGTTGAAATGTTTTCGGACACCTCGAGCAGCTGAAGAGTCTCTCATCAGAATGAGTCAACTCGTGTATCGCAAGGCTGAATTTTTTGGAAAAAGTTTCCGAACATCTGAAGCAGCTGAAGGGCTTTTCATCAGTTTGGGTTTGCACATGTTCCGGGAGATGATGATGTTTATGTTGAAGTATATCCGAACATCTGGGATAGCTGCAGGGCTTTTCATTGGTGTTGATTCGTTTTTCTTCCGTGAACTTAGAAACCGAAGTACATGTTTTTCCGCACAAATCGTAATCATAGGTACTTTTTGAAATATTCTTATCCGTCCCAATATTATGACTGCAATTCTGCTCTTGACTGTTATCCATGACGTTGATTAAAAAAAATAATGATAATGGTTTTGTGGTTCAAGAACGAATGCTTGATTTTTTGAAAGTTGCTTTTCTGTCAACAGAAAAAATAAAAACGGTGTATTGTTCTGTCAGAGTGTGCATTGCATGTTTTTTTTTACTAAAATAATTACAGGTTAATATTTAAAATATCATCAGTAGTAAAATTATCATATTCTAAAAACTTAAAAACGTCGATGTCCAAACAAAAATCAGTGAGTAATTCCGTTGAATGATTAGTTAGTCTTCAAGGTAAGCTTAATGTTTCGTCAATCTATTTACGATAATTTAAGTAATTACTGTCAAGTATCGTTTCTGTTGCTTACGCCATTGTCTGAAGTGGCTGCATGAAATCTGGTTAAAATCAGCTGCAGTGAACCGTCGTAGTAGTTACTGTTAGAGAGTTTTATAAATATTAATCAACTCAAGGATGAAAAAGCTTGTCTTGAAAAAATTCCACGTTGATAAGTATTTTGGATATTCAACTTGTTTCAAATAATTCCTGAGTTGTAATTTCCAAAAACTTAACCTAAGAGCATCTCTCATAAAAGGTTCGTTCAAACCCCTTTTGGTTCGGTCCAGTTCTCTTAGCAAAGTATACCTATATACAGCGAACCAAACAGAACTGGTTCTGTATACATATAGGTATATTTTGTTAAGAGAACCGAACAGAATAAAAAGGGGCTTGAATGAATCTATGATATTAAATTCTGATGGTCACTGTATTTGTTCTTCATCAAATTGAATTCACAACTTTGCGAACAGTTCGGTAACAAACATGGCTCTCGTAGAAGACAAATTACAATTTTCGCGTCAAGCACTGTTGACTCTACATCAACGATATACCGACGTGTAAGATAAGTTAACCCAAAAAAATCATAGTTTGTGTCTGATGACAATTACAATGGCTACGACAATCATCGAAACTTTGTAAAATCAATTGAATAAAGAAGTCATCACAGAGTTAACCTCGAAATCGGCATATTTATACCCCCACTTCACCTATCATCGGAAGTACACACTAAACAAAACAATTCTATGAGACATTTTTAGTTATAAAACTAGAACTTACATTTTTTGTTTTTTAGTTTTCAATCCTTGGATTAACTATTCTCTTTGCGTTGGCCAAGCACTTGCTTTACGAATTTATTCGTGTTTTCAATCGTCTGTTTAACTATCAGCGTCATCAGTTAATATCGCAACTAATGCAAAAAACTCATCCAACAACTCACTTTTTACGCATTTAGATATATGGTCACGTATTGAAATGAAAAAAAACTATCTGTATACTTGAGCGCTTAAAAAGTTAGTCATTATGAAACAAAACAAAAATTGTTTTCACTTCTGTGGTGTAATTAGTGAGGTATAATGATAGTCTAATAATACGCATTTGCTAAGCGGGCAGCCACGTATAGTTTTCAGTTGTTGCCTCTAGATAATACTAATCTGAACAAAGTCGTGTAAGATAGTGGAAAAATATAAATGTAAATGTTGAGTGCACGTTGTATTAACGATGTTTTAATTTATTATTAATTCAAACATTTCTGGTAAGAACCAGATTTTGGTATAGAATTCTTTTTATTTTTTATTACTTTTTTTGTTTTATACAGTATAAACGGGACGATATTCGCTACGTGTGGCTAAAGGGAGGGGAATTACTTAACAAAACATAACTCCAATGTGCCGAATGTTTCGAAAGAACAAACAGTGTATTGAACATTCGACACTTCATTGCTATCTTTGATTTGTATACGATAAGTAAAAAAACTTTGGGGGTAAGAGTTCGTCAGTTTGATATGATATAAGTCGTATTTTAGGCAGCAATTAGTCACTTTTACTAAATCGAATGAAAATAAAAAATGAGCTTTTCCAAGTATACATTAGAATAGTTAATCGCGGTGTCCTTACTTATAAATATGTATGAAGTGGCGTTGTCACCAAAAAAAACCCAACTTATTATTATTATTTTTTCTGTCAATTAAGAAATCTACATTGCATTCATGGGCTATTTTTATAGCCATCATACCAGTCTTCCGTAGGCTTGAAATAAATCAATCACTTATGAACTCTAGCATTGAATTTCTCGAATGACTATTTAGTTGATGAATTTCGAATTTAACTCTTAAAAATTTTACTCGACCAACACACATTTGATCTGATTGAAAACTGCCGCGCGTACAGTCGAAAGGAACAGCAACATCGGAAAGGAAAAAGCCAGGGGGGCACAAGAGTCGGAAGAAAAAACAACTTTGGTGGAAGAAAAGTGGCCACGAGCGGGCAAAAAAGTAAGAGGAAGCGGAGGAAAAGCTAAATCAAAGAAGAAAGCGGAGAGTGAGTTTGGCTCTCTCTCCCTCTCGTCATTTGCGGCGCCGGCTGCTTCATTAGAAGCTCTTAATTAACTTGCTCTGCGCACGCGACTTTGCACAATGGCGCGCCCGAGTGACTCTATACTACTACTACTACCACGACGGAACACCAGGAGGAGGAGGCCAGACTCTGTATCGCAAGCGCACTCCCATGAAAGAAAGAGAGAGAGGGGGCGAGAAGTTCGCGATATTCAATTACATGTTAATAATGCACGCTCGGTTACATTGGCCTCGTTCCAGGGATCCCTTCTCCATCCCCCGTAATACCTCCAAATCGCACTTGCCGAAAAAACTACACACTCCTTTGTTCTTCGCTTCAAATGTAATTTTATATCTATTTCAATTGTGTATGTATGTCTGTAATAAAAAATAATACGTGCACGCGAGATGTCGACGCGTAAAAGAAACAAACAAGGAAAAGCTATACTAAACTAATAATTAATTTTTTATTATTATTATTATTTTTTTTTTTTTCATCACAATGATTACGTCGAACATCCAAACGGCGCCCTAGCCGCGCGGTCTCCCTGTACGGCCTCCGAAAGATTACCCTTTATTGCCCCAATTAATTTTTATCCCTCTACCTGCGACGGCTAATTGTATTATTCGCCGATACTGAGAGGCCAAAGAGGCCTTCTCCGAGTGCTGCCTTTTTTTTCCTGCACATACACATTATATCTTCCTTAGCTCCCTTTGCCCTTCCCTTTTACGCGCGATCGTTTACGGAACGCCTTGCAAACTCGTTGGGGAAAAAAAAAAAAATTACAAGGGTCAATTTGATGAACAAGCAAACTTTACTGTGGTAACATTGATCATTTAAGCAGATAAATATGATGAAAATTGAATAAAATAACGTTGAAGTATAATATTGTACAACGTACAAACGTAACGCCGGGGATTTTTCACAAACACATTTTATTTGAAAAGGAATTGATGAGCAAAAAATTAAACAACATGTACATTTTTCCTTATTGTCATGGCCCTTTGCATATATGCTTATAAACTAAACCTCTGGTCTTTGTTCAAGAAAGCAAACGAGGCTTTCCCATTGAAAAAAGTTGGACCGATCACGACTCGACGACTCATCGATTCGAAATTACCTCTTCACTAAAACTAGTAAATCGCATCCCCGATCGAGTGGATACAGGCTGATCCCATTTCGTTTCCTCCGTAAGTTATACTACGTCCATTTCGGTATACTTATAGACCTACATTGCCGTGCAGTAACACGATTTTTACGAATCGTTTTTATCGCCCCGATGGCGCGCACAATACGACCTCTCTATCGAGTTTTTCCCTCGGCAGCCACGAGTAGGAGAAAAACGTCGCTCGTCGTACGGCCCGTAAACGAAATTATTTGTCGTGATTCGCAAACAAAGTGGGCGAAAGAAGAACACCTTCAACTCAGTTTTGTGCTTTTTTTTCAACCCGTGACCTGATTTTGCCATTTAATTCCATACCAATATGCACTCCAATTGTATACGGTTGTGCGAGTGGGTAGGTACACGAGATTTGTGTTTCTTTCGATTGCGCTTTTGTACTGCGAATTTATAAGGTAACGGGGAAAGGTTTTATAAATACACCGAGCTTTCAGTGTTTGTTCGTCCCATCGTGACCTGCCGCGAGCGACGATTAAATGAAGACGATCTAGTTCACGCTGTGGAATGAAAAGCGCACGGCACTGTCGTTCCGAGGGAGAGTAACATGTAAAACGAAGCTAAAATTAACTAAAATAAAATGAAAAAAAAAAANAAAAAAAAAAAAAAAAAAAAAAAAAAAAAAAAAAAAAAAAAAAAAAAAAACGGAGCATAAAAGCTCTGAGGGATGAGAGGAGGAAAACGACGACGTAAATAGCCCGAATACCGGAGAAGCGGCTCCCGCTAATTAGTCGTTGTGTAAAGGCGTCTCCCTCCCTCCATCCCTCTCGTATTTCGCAAAAGCTTATACCGTTAATTAACATACCTCCCGAGAGCGTTTGGGATGCTTCTCCCTCCCTCTGCGTCTTACTTGCTCCGCGACTCCACGGAAAGGAGCTTTTGGGAAGATTCCGGAATCATAGCATCGCTCTCAACCCTTTTGCGAAAAGTCCTCGCCGAGGCTTTTTGGGTCTCCGCACTGTGTCCAAAGAACCAGGGATTCTGTCATTTTTTTTTTTTTCTTTTGCCAGGTCGAGTGTCTCATTGTTCCCTATATTTGCCGATTGGGAGTATTTTTAATTTTCAGCAACAAAGGGTACCTCATACATGTTCTTTATCCCAAATTGGACGTATAAGGATCAAGTTTCGATGCTTTTTTTTACGGCCTCGGCGAGTGGGCAAAATGGCTCACTCGGCCCCGATAAGAGAGTCACGAGAGGACGTAAACACGAGCACAAAAATCAAAGGAACGAAACGTTGCGGGTGACAATCGTCGCGCACAGCTTTATATAAACGTCGGCGCGTTTTATCGGTACTTTGGCAAGATGTGATCTTTCTTTACTCACGTACGACACCAATGTCATTTCATTGTTTATATGACTCACTTGTTCCTATTCTTTTTTCTTATTTGCAAAATACCGGAATTTTATTACACGATATAAACCGATCGTATACAAAGTGCCGTTTTTCTTTTTTT